TCCTGCCTCCAGATTCCTGCCCTGAGTTCCTACCTTGGGATCCCTGATGAACTGCGACCTGGGAGATGTAAGACAAATAAACCCTTTCCTCCCCAAGTTGGTACTGGTCAGAGTGTTTTGTCATAGCAATGAAGAAACAAACTAGGACATACATCCTTAGCCTCCATATGACCAAATTTTAGGCCTCTATCTATTAAATCAGAATTACTCAAAAGCACCTGAATAACAACACCTTACCCAGCTTCATCTGCCATTTCTTGAAGCAGCATATCCACTTGGTTCTAGAATTAAAAAAAAAAAAACACAAAGAATTCATGCTCTTGTAGCATTAGCTTTGGGGGGTGGGTTTTGGTTTCTATTTGCCTTTCAAAGGGGAAACTGATTACAAGTTTTAAAATGGGCTTGAGCAGTAGCTTAGTGGGGAAGAGTATGTACTGCCCTTGCAGAGTGCCCACAGTGGCCAGTCACAACTACCTGTAATTCCAGCTGCAGGAGGATCTGGCCTCCATGGGCATATGCAATCACCTGAACATACTCACCCTCATATACACATAATTAAAAATAGAATAAACCTTAAAATCAAAACACTCCAGCCCCCCACCAAAAGACAACTTCAAATATATAAAGCAAATATTTAAATATATTTTTCTTGCCACCAGAGAGTGCTGCACAATTTCAGAGTGTAACTTTCTGAATGTTACAGTCCAAAGCCTTATACTATAAGGTTGTTTGAACAGTACTGACAGTCACAGTCACATAATTTACATTTAATGTAGCACTCTAAGGTAGCAACCCAACTTATAATGCTCCATTACAATCAATTCTATTCTTAATAGTAATAGATTTAAATTTGATATTAAAGTAAATTTAATTGTTCTCAAGTGAATGCAAATCTTATATTAAAATGACTTTTTAAAAAGAAGTATCAATAAACAAATACCTAAAGCATATACCCATTGGTTTGCACTATGGGTTCAACGAATGGCATTAACACTCAGAGAAAAAATTGTGCATGCATTGTACGTATTTTTCCCCTTGTTATTATTTCTATAACAACACAGGAAGCCAACTATTTATTCAGTATTCATACTGTAGTAGGTAGTATAATTAAAAGGTTTTTTAAATTATACAAGATGTGCATATTATGTGCAGACACTACATTGTTATATGTTTTTTAAATTTCTATTTTGTGTATATAAGTGTGTTGCCTACATGTATGGAAGTGCACCATGTGTATGCAATGGGTGTGGAGGCCAGAGGAGGGCATCAGATCTCCTAGAACTGGAGTCACAGACAGTTGTTAGTTGCCATATGAGTGCTGGGAACCAAACACTGGTTCTCTCGAAGAGCAGCCAGTGCTCTTTACTCCGAGCCATCTCTCCAGTCTCATACACTGCATCTTTAAATAAGGGAACTGAGCCTCTTCATGTTTTGGTGTGCATGGGAGATCTTGAAATCAATTTCATATGGATCTCTGGGTTTATTTTTTGTAATTTTCTTGAGAAAAGGCTTCAGTATGTAGCCTAGGCTTGTCTAGAATTTCTAGAACTCAATGCTCACTGGTTTCCAGCTATCAAGTGGTGGGCTCAGCACCATACCCGGTTCTACATTGAGATATTTATTAAGGTATAAGACTTCTCAGGAAATATAGTGTGTTGACTATACTACTTTTTGACACAGTCGGTGTAAAATATTTTGGACATATTCTTTTTTTAAAAAAAATTAATTTATTATTTTTTTATTTTATGTGTATGAGTGTATTGCCTGCATGTAGGTAAGTGCACCTGTGTCGTGCAATACCCGCAGAAGACAGAAAAGGCTATCAGATCCCCTGGAACTAGAGTTACAGACAATTGTTAGCTGCCACGTGGGTGCTGGGATTCAAACCTGGGTCTTCTGCAAGAATAGACAGTGCTCTTAATCACTGAGCCATCTCTCCAGCCCTTGAACAAACATATTCTAAAATGTGGTACAGTTCTACAGTAAAAAGATGTATGATTTAAAGCAAACATCTAAACTAAATGTTGGGATCTTACTTTCTCTTGTTCTTTTATTCACTTCAAAATATGTTTCCAAAAGGTGGAAAGTTCAGAAAATCATAGATTACATAAACCTTTTGTCATTTTTACTCCATATCTGAAGTAGCACTGTCTTCTGAAATTTTACTTATATGGTATTATATGTAATTCTCCAACTTGCTTTCCTTAATTTTCTAAGATTTAATTTTATTGGTATGTAGAGATTTAGTTTATTCAATTTAACTCTTTGATGGTCACTTGTAGTACATCAGTATATAAATACACTCAAATTAATATATATGTATATGTTATTTCTGAGCATTTACTATTTTTTAAATTTCATCCTATCACAGATAATGATTCAATAAATATTCATGTGTGTCCTTTTTGTACATACACAGGGACTTCCGGGTACATAAATATGGAAGTAGAAGTCCTAGGTTATAGGTTATGTACATTTTCATTTACTCTACTATGTCCAGTAATATTACAAAAAGTGAACACTTGCTCATATCATTTTACATGCTAAGGAGCCATCGATAAAAAAAAAAAAACAGATTAGTGCTAGGAGAGGGTGAAGAAAAGAAAAGTATAAAAGTATTGTATGTGTGTTTTGTGTGCAGGTGTGGGTGTGGACAAATGTGTCCTTCAGCCAGAGGCGGACATGGGATGTCCTGTTTTATCACTCTCCACCTTATTCTCTTGAGACAGGGTCCCTCATGGAGTCTGGAGCTAGGTTCAGCCAGTCATCCCCAGAGATCCTCCTGACTCTGCCCACTACAACAAGGAGTTTATAGGCTTGCCTGATGCCTTGCCTTACTTTTTACATGGGTTCAGGGGATTTGAACTCAGGTCTTTGTGCTTGTACAGTAAGTGCTTTTACCCACTGTCACCTCTTCAGCTCCACACAAACATTTTTAATATTGCTGTATGATTTAACTGTAATAGGAATTAATTTTATATTTAGAATAGTTAAAAAGCAAAATGGGGAGGTATCTGAAATAAAGGAGAGGCATTACTTGGCAATCCATAAATACTGTAATGACAGTGTTCACAGACTAGGAAAAGAATCTTGGAATTTATATGGATATGCAAAACAATGCAAACAGTGAAAGAAGTGTACACAAAAAGAGCAAAGCTGGAAGGTTAACAATATCTAATTTCAAGACATACTACAGAAACCTAGTAAGTATAAGGTGCTGACACAAAAAAAAGACACACAGATGAATGGAACAGAACAGACAGAGCAGAAATGAACCCATGCAGATTCTTGACAAAGGCACCAAAAATATACACTGGAGAAATGACTGCCGTTTTAGTACATGATGCTTGAAAACTGAAGTCAAAATAGTGAAACTTGACCTGTCATTTTTCATGCTGTATAAAAATCAACTCAAAATAGAACAAAAACATAATATGTGACATGAATCTAGGAAATAGCTAGAAGAAAACATAGGGGAAAACTTCAATGCCTTTTTTATGGCTATGACCCAAAAAGCACAGAAGAAAGCAGAAAAGGACATATGGGATTACATCATCCCCAAAACTGCTGTATGGTAAAAAAATCAATCAGCAGGGTGAGAAGACAACATAGAGAACAGAAGAATACATTTCTCAGCTGTTTATCCAACAGTTACTATCCAGACTATACCAGGAACTCCAAAAACTCAACAAAAACCAGTCAGAATGAGCAATAGATCTAAATAGGCATTTCTCAAAAGAAGACATATGAAGGTCAAAGAGATACATGAAAGAACGCTTTAACATCATTAATTGGGGTGATGCAAATCAAAATCAGGATGAGGTATCACCAAAATCAAGTAAAAAGGGCTCTTATCAAAAAACGATTTTAAATGCTGGTAAACATGAAGAAAAGGGAAACCTGGAACACTGTTGGGGAGAATATAAATTACTACAGGCTATCTGAAGAATAGTAAGGAGGAGTCTCAAAAAACTCAAACTAGGTAAGAGGCTATTGTTGAAGACTGAGCTATGCTAGAGACCTTTGAAGGGATCCCCCAATTTAGGGGTTCTGGGGACACAGCACACTGCCTTTAGGTAGTGGAAGTCATGGCCTATAAAGGGCACGGTGATCTATGGCCCCACCATCACTGATATGAGCAGTCACCATCAAGAGACAGTAAGAGTGGACTCTGATAGGGCAGTGCCCATGCCTGAGGGACTATGGAGCCACCACTCTGCTGTGCCACTTGCTGCCACGCAGGGCTGAGAGCTCTGAGGCCAAGTCCAGTGTGTCACTTAACTTCCCGTCTCCTCTCTCATGCGGAGTAGTTTACTCCTGGACAGGACATTAAAGCACAGAGAAATGTAGGCAAAGTGCTAGGTTCCCTTGGTTCTCCCCTTCCAGTAAAGAGTCAGTGCTCTGTTCTCTCACTCTCTGTGGACTTGGAGACCATTCCCTGACTTAGATATTAGCCACCTCAGGATGAAAAAAAAATCTCTGGAGGTCTCTTGGGCAAGTAAGAACTTTCCAAAGCCACAGGCCAGAAAGCTAAATGTGGCCAGCAATGGCCCCTGGTGAGCTCCTGCAATTAAACAACATATTAAGAAGACAGTACAACATAATTAAGTGGATTTCTTTCCAGGGATGCTAATATAGCTCAACATATACATATCAACAAATGTAACATAGCAAACAAATGACAGAACAGAAATCATATGATAGATAATACACATAGATACAGAAAAGCATTGATAAAATGAGAAGATAGGATTAAACTAACAAACATCACACAATATACATGTATCAAGACATCAGGCTATCCTATAAATCTATAAAATTTTACATATCTACTAATGTAAGTTTTATTAATAAAATAAGACCATTAGCAGAGATGTGGATGCATACTCTATAATCTACAAGTTTAATCCAATTCAATCCCCAGAACTCAAAAAACATGCTAGGTAATCTAGTCCTCTACAACCTTCTCAAGGACGTGGCCAATAGTGCAGTAGCTAGCTTTCTTTCCATGTTTTAGGGTATGCCATATTTGTTCAGGAATAAGGATGATTTAGCATCACAAAGCCATTATATATTGAAATTGGTATTTTTTGTTTTGCTTTTTTCTGCTGGGATAGGGGTGGGTCATTACTATGTAACCCAGACTGGCCTGGAACTGACTCCACAGCACAGGCTGGTCTTGACCTCATGGCACTCTTGTTTCAGGCAGCCCAGCACCAGGATTACAGGCCGGTGCCACTATGCCCCAATCAGATGATTTAAGAAGCTACTGGAAGGAGAACTTGTCCTCACCTGTGGTGTTGTTAGGGTTGTAGTGCTACTCATTGTGTCCTCCATCTGCTGTGTCTGAACATCCAGTGTTTCAAACTGATGCTCAAATTTGTCCATCAAGGCAGAAATCTGCAAAAACAGGTTCATCGGAAAAATGTATCCTGAAAAGATGTTACCTGAACATGAAGTAGTAATGGTAAATGTTTATTTTTTTTTACCTTCTCAAGGTTCATACTCCTCAATGTAGCATCCATAGATTTAACTACACCTGCCATGGACTTTGTCACCTATATTTGGAATATAAAACTGATTTAGCAACATATAAGTTTTGTAATCTTTAAAATATATTACTTATATATCTAGGAAACTTGTCTATCATTTCATTAACAATAAATATTATATATTTTGGTCTAACCATTGTCTATTTTATATCATTGACATTTCATTACAAGGCAACTAATTAAACCATAGTTCAAAAGTCCAATGACAAAATCATTTTCCCCACTAAATCTAATTTCCCATGAAAGCCTTTATCAGCACCTTGTAACACCTTGCCATAGATTCAGGTTTCTATCTGACAATTCTTCCTAGTCTCATTCAACTTCAGTCAAGTGTTCCTATTGACAGACACTAAGTCGTACCTTGCCCATTGTTACTGCAGTTTGAACTCTGGCTGCCACAGCATCAACCCTAGCACTCATTCTCAAGAAATTGATTGCTTGGTTTTTCTGACGGATCGCGTTTTCAGCATGTATTCTTGCAACTTCTGTATTGCCTTTCTGAATGGCCTGTTTTAAACAGAAGTAAAATAAACAGTGTTGAAGAAAAATAGCAAAAGATATTGGTAAAGAAAAAGAGCAAAAGTACAAATATTTTAAAACATAAATAACTCCAAATTTAACCACAGTCTGTCAGAGCTTTTACAATGAACTATTTCAGAATCATAAGTAAAACATTAAAAGAATAATTTATAGTCCTATTCACATTTAATCTCATTATTAGAAAAGTCATGTGTATTAACAGATTAAGAAATTAGAATATGGTGGATGTGGTAGTGCACGCTTTTAATTCTAGCACTCGGGAGGCTGTCAGACCTCTGTGACTTTGAGGCCAGACTGCTCTAAGTAGTAAGTTCCTGGCCAGTCAGCGCAACACAGTGATACCCAGACTAAAAAATAAAGAAGAAAATATGAGTTAATTATATCACTGTGTCATCCTCACTGCTAAAATTTAGATTATTCCAATCATACTTATTACAATATAAATATATGTGTAACAAGAGCATACACACACACATACACACACACACACTTGCTGTTTTGAATCTTGTTTTCTTTCATGCTAGAAAAAACATCACTTTAAGTTAAAAAATACACTTACATTATTATTTCTAAGGGCTGTATCAAAGAGATGCAGGTCAAGGTTTTCACACATAGTAAAAAATCTATTGATAGTATACAAATGATCGTACATGTTACATAGACATTAAGTGGTTTCTTTATGGCTTTACTGAATATTCATACAAAAAGTGTGTAACTAGATAGAATCTCCATGTTTTCTGCTATAATGTATTGGGTTAGGGATAAAGATTTTAAAAATAAGGGGCTAGAGAGATGGTTCAGTGGTTAATAGTACTGATTACTCTTGCAGAGGACCCAGGTTTGATTCCCAGTACTGTCTGCTCTTGTGGAGGAGCTGGGTTCAGTTCCCAGCACCCACTTGGTGGCTAACAACCAATTGTAACTCCAGTTCCAGGGGACCTGACACCCTCTTCTGACCTCCATGGCCATTGTACAACACAGGTACACTTATATACATGCAGGAAATACACTCATACACATAAAATTAAAATAATAAAATATTAAGATTTTTAAATTGAGTTCAAGAAAAATTATGAAATGAATAATCCAGACAGTTCTCTAATACAACAAAGTAGAATTGGCAGTGTAGAAATACCAGAAATTTGAGGAGACCTCAATTCGTCAATAGTATAGTCAGAAATTTTATGTCTCCTAGTATATGCAAGTTTATACACTTTCAAAATATTTTCAAAAGACAAATTCGTGGTTAAAGAATTAATAGATGTAGAGGTATAGTCTAATTTAATCATAAAACCTACAATGCTTCCAATTTCCATCTTGCAAAACAGAGTTTTTGCCTTTTCACAGGTACAGTTAACAAAATGGGATATTGTTGTTATTATTATTATACTTTATAATGATCTAAGAAGTAAAAAGTGGTACCTCATCAAATTTCTTTATTATAGTCTATAATGATCTAAGAAGTACAAAGTGGTACCTCATCAAATTTGTTTGATTAAAAGGGAGACTGAATGGTCTGGTAAGGATGTGAGCAAAAAGAACCCTTATAAACTGTTGATGATAGTATAAATCAGTCCAGCCTTATGGGAATATGGAGAGTCCCACAAATTAAAAATAGAACTACCATATGATCTGTTTCTAATACTATTGGGTATATGCGTAAGGAATCAAAGTCAGCAAACAAGAGATATTGGTAAACCCATATTTACTGTGGTACTAGTCACAATGGCCAAGGTATGGGATCAGCTTAGACCCAGGGGAATGGATAAAGAAAAAGTGGAATAGCATACACACTGGAATATTACTCAGACATAAAGGACAACATTATGATATTACTGATAGAACTCAAGATCTTCATAGTCTAAGTTTAATAAGGCAGACTCAGAAAGACAAATATCACATATCCTCTCATAAGAAAACTCTAGATTTAAAAAAAAGAACGCATGAAAGCATAAGGGGGACATTTTGGTTGCAGGGACCTGTAGATAAAGGAACAGGTGCAAGTGAGGGCCATACGGAGTAAAAGTAACGGAAAAATTCAAAAGTTAACCATTAGTTTTTACATTACACATGGTGGTTTTATAGTTCTCCTTTTATGAGTCACTTGGATGTATTCCATCTTTTTAGACATTTTGTTACTGGGAACCTGATACTTACCTGCAATGCAGCTTTTCCTATATTGCTGATTGCCATTTTATTTTATATGTGATTACATCTTTTAGGTAGATGCTTCCTTTAATTTTTTCTATGCTGTAAATATCCTTTTGTATTCTAAGGTAATTTCTTATGGTTTTAATGGTTTCATTGCTGTCATTTAAATATGCTTTAACAATTATTTTATTTTTATGAGTGTGTTTTCCCTTTATGTGTGAAATGCATGCAATGCCCACAGAGGCCAGAGGAGGGCTTTGGATCCCTGGGGATAGGAGTTAGAGACAGGACAGGTAGCTTCCATGTGGTTGCTGGGAACTGAACCTGGGTCTTCTACAAGAGGAAAATCACTGAGTCATTTTTCTAGTTTGCATGCAAGTATTTACTAAATTTGTTGTTTATCTGAATGAAATATGTAGTGGTTTTTTTTTCTCACTGGTCTGAATTCCTAGCCCTTTAAAATGTTTTTATTTTGATATGGTATCTCCTTAAATCACCCAGACTGTCACCACAGCATCCTGAATAGCTGAGTAGCAGAGATTACAGACATGCACTACCACACCTGGCTCTTATGTGGGTATCTGTTATTTTCCAACAATAAGAATAAGTGCTTCCTCTATTGAAGCATTTTCTCATTCTATATATTCAAGGTTTTTTTGACTGATGCCTAATTACTTTAGTTACTTTTAGCCAATTTTAAAATACTACAACAGAAATACATGCATGCAATTATAGTAATGAAATAGAAAAGAATTTATTATTGTAAAAGGACTTTTCTCAACCCCAGTCACTCTAAGCATCTAGTGAATACTATATATTCACTTATTAAAAATTGAGAGCTGGAGAGATGGCTCAGCGGTTAAGAGCACTGACTGCTCTTGTATAGAACCCAGGTTCGATTCCCAGCACCCACATGGCGGCTATGAACCGTCCTAAACTCCCAGTTCCAGGGAAATCTGAAGCCCTCTTCTGACCTCGGTGGCATTGCATGATGCAGGTACACTCACATACATGCAGGCAGCACACTCGTACAAATAAAATAAAAATAAATAAAATATTTTAAAAAATATTACTGAGTCTAGCCGGGCACAGTGGTGCATGCCTGTAGTCCCAGCACTTGGGAGGCAGAG